AGAAAGAAACTAAATACATCCCTAGGACATCGTTACGAACCCTCTGCGTTTTGCACAGAGATACTGCCCAGATAATGACCTATCTGCGGAAACATGTTGGGGGTTGCAGTGTCCAGATGAGTTAGTGTGTCCTGTATCTGTCTATGTCTGGACCGGATCCTTTGTGGTGTTATATGCTCTCAACTCCCACTTCTTCAAGTGGGAAGGAGGGTGCTCAGCACCTTGCAGTATCAGGCTGAAGGAGCTTCAAGAAGCATGCTCCATAGAGGTCCAGCAGCCGGAAAGGTAGTGACACTGCCAAGGTGTCCTGGCACCTGGTTCTCCCTCGCTCTGAGGTCCTCTCAGCAGCTGTAACCCCAATTTGTTTCCAGCAGGAGGGGCAGATGCACAGGACGTTTCCCTGCAGAACGGGCTCCTGCAGGACGACGGATTCTGAACAGAATTTGGACCTCGAAGAAAACAGGCCGGCTGCAGGATGCCAGGGCAGGAGATGCCCTGGGCTCCAGCAGATATCTGGCCCCACTGGCCCTGCAAGGGGTAACCAAATCACTGAGCATGCTGCTGACCCACGCAGCAGCCTGGCCAGCCCAGACGGTGGGTTAGCAACCAACTGGACTTTATGTATCGGTGCATTTTTTGGCTGTGTGACCCAAACCATAGCCGAGCTACCAGGCTCAGCACTGCACATCACAGGTAAAGAAGGGACAGGTGCCTGAAGGGGAGCACAGTTTGCTGTGGGCTGGTTTAGGGATGGAGCATTTATCTGCTGGGGCCGGCGGGGCGTATTCAGAACTCCTGGGCTGGTTTTTCCCCTCAGCTCTGCCATAAATTCATTCTGGAAGTTGAGGTAAAGTCATTCAAGGGTGCTACGGTTAGTCCCTCAGCCAGGATGAAGCCTGTAGCTAGTAGCAGAACTGGAGCAAGCAGTGAGCACACAGGTAACACAACCAAACTGCAAAGTGACCCAGAAAAATCAGAGCAGAGGGTACTGCAGGCTCCAGAGGGAAGACTGAGCTGCAAGGCGGGCGCTTGGGGAGCGGCCCCCCCACCTGCCACACCAGAGGACGCGAGACCTGGTCACCCAGCGCCTTCTGGTCCCCACAGCAAGTTCCCCCTGACTTCTTTGGGGCCTTCCCTTCTCCAAAGTGGGGCTCTGCACCAAGTAAGATTACTCTTTCCACTGCTCCAGCAAAGGAGATGATTGCTAATTACACAGCCTGCTTTAAGCAGATTTGCTCTGCTAATTAAACTCATCTCTATGGCTGGAAAATGAACTCCAGCCTCTCACAAGCAGGAGAGCAGGCCAGTTAGATGGCCACTTAACTCGTTACAGCATGGGGGGGGAGGCGGCCGCCTAGCTCCAGACCAGCCCGCCGGGTAGCCAGAAGCACGGGCGGCTTCCCCCCCCTCCCCCGAAAACTAGACGTTTCCAGAGCTCAACTTTTCGACAAGCAAAAAGCGTAAAATCCGGGCCTCTCCCTTCCAGAGAAAGCCGCGACCTGCCCCGTCCTCTTAGCTCCTTCATCTAGGAGAGGGGGCTACAGCGGGATTTCCTCTCAAAATGCCACAAGTGGGGCCGCCGCGCAGAGCCGGCCAGGCCGCCGCGCCGGGGCAAACGGTGCGAGGGAAAACATGTGGAAGAAATCACCGCGGAAAATACCTTCTCCCCTCCCCCCGAGAGAGACAACAGCGCGGCCGGGGCTCGGCTCCCTCCGGTCCCGGGAGCCCCTGCACCCCCGCCCGGGGCCCCGCCACTCACCGGCGCGGAGCCGCC